GAGCAGAAAGACAGAAGGAATTTGGTTCTTACTGACCCTGCTGAACTGGTGAATAACCAAAACTATCCTTTCTTTGGATTTCTTTTTTGAGAGACAATAATTAGCCCAATATAGGCTAGTTTTAGTCTGATTTTTCTAAGCAAACAGGTGACAACTAAATGGTGGAGCTGGGAGCTGAGATCTCAATAAAGCCTTGAAAGAAGACCATGAAGAAGATATGTTTCATTTTGCTGAAATCAGATCCCTAAAAAGCAATATCCAAGTAGTGCTGGGATCAGTGGGTTTCTTAATCCCAAAGGTTTATACTGCTTTTTAAATACAATGACATTATTCTGCACAGAATGTGGGTGTGTTCGTGAAGGCTACTGGTGAAAGCAGGAATAAGAAAGGATATCTACTGATCTATCTATAAAATGACAATGGGATAATGGTGACTATAGTTACTAATACTGTATTGTTTACCCGCAGTTTGCTAAGAGAACGGATTTTAATGCTCTCACCACACACGCACACACATGAACTGATAACTATATGAGGTGATGGATGTGCTAACTAACCTAATTGTGGTAGTCATTTCACAACATATATGTACATCAAATCCTCGAATTGCATGCCTTAAAATTTACACAATATTATTTCTAGATTATATCTCAATAAAACTGAGAGAAAAATGAGAACAGGCTTTAAGGAAACAGATGCAATTATAGAGTGGGAAAATTTTAAATAATGATTGTCAAAATAATACCTGAGATTTGAGCTAAATACAACTTGGAAGCAACTGAAGCACAAATTAGTGAGTTGAACAATTAAACTGTGAAGCTCTCCAAGAATACAGGGAGCAGGCACGGGAGGCAGGGACTACAAAAAAGAAGCATGAGAGAAATTTAATATTCATAGAGAATATATCCAGAAACTCCAATTAAGAGAATTTTGTTCTCTTAATTGGAGTTCCAGAAGGAGAGAGTAGAAAAGATGAAAAGGGTAAGGGATCAGAAAATCAATAGAAGAATCAAGGCACCTGGGTGGCTCAGTCAGTTAAGCATAGACTCTTGATATTGGCTCAGGTCATGATTTCATGGTCCATGAAATAGAGCCCCACACCGGGCTCTGTGCTGATAGCATGGAACCTGCCTGGGATTCTCTCTCTCCCTCTCTGTCTGCCCCTCCCCCACTTGCTCACACGCACTCTCCCTCCCTCTCTCTCTCTCTCTCAAAATAAATAAATAAACATTAAAAAACCATTAAAAAAAAGAAAATAGAAGCAAATATCTAAAGCTGAAGGCAGCTATGTCTTGAGTTTGGAATGGCCCACACAGTACCAAGCAAAATAAACATAGTAATGACAAACCCGCCCCTACTCATAACTTGAAGAAATTCCAGAACACTAAGAACAAAGAGAAAATTGTAAAAATCTTTCAGAGAAAAATCCCACAAAGTAACAAGAATCAGACTTCTCATTGACAACAATGGATACAAAAATAAAAATACCAAAGTCTGTTACCATCAAATTCTATAGGTGTAAAAATTATCATTAAAAAGTAAGTAAAAATAGACACTTCTAAATTTGCTAAGATTCAGGTAAATAAGAGTATTTTAAAATAGTTACTTGAGTTTGCACTTTAAAAAATGGCCAAATAGAAGATAAAGCCAAGAACTGAAAAAACAGGTTATAAGAAACCACAAGGATGAAAAACACATTAAAGCATAGCTATTTATGTTAAATATGTATTTATTGTAAAACAAATCAATAATCTGAAATTAATGGGGGTATCACGGAGAAAAAGATATAGCATATGCTAAAGTTCTTGCCTTTGGAGGATGAAAGGTAAATACATTGTGTCTTTTATATTTTGAGTTTTTTATTAAAACATTGCAAGTGCACACAAAATACTATAACAAACCTCACAATAGCCACAATCTAGATGTAATAATTATTTACATTTTGCCATATTCCTGTAGTATTTTAAAACAATTCCCAGATACCACAATCCTTCACCTTTAAATATGTCAGTATGCATCTATATGTAGAAGTGACTTTTTCCACAACCACAATATTAGGACACCTAACAACATAATAACAATTTCATAGTATCATTTAATACCCAGTACATATTCAAATTTTTCTAATTGTCCCCAAAAAGTCTTTTTTTGCAATTACTTTGTTTAAACCAAGCCCACAAATAGCATTTGTTGATTATGTTTCGTAAGTCTCTTTTAATGCTTGATAGCCCCACAGCTCATTCCAATGCAAAAACAAAAAGGAAAAAAAAATCTCACAAATTTTTTCATGCAACTAACTTTTCTAAGTTATTTAGATCCGTTGCTAATTAACTTATGATGAGACCAGGTGGTAGAATGACCCACAACCTAGATTTGTTTGTCTCTTTGCAGTACCCTTTAACTGGTCTCTAGCCACTATACTAATAAGTTTGATCTAAAAGTTTGATTAGGTTTACATTTTTGTGTGTGTGTGTGTTTATTCAATATTGAGAGACAGAGAGCACAAGCATGGCAGGGGCAAAGACAGGGGGAGTCACAGAATCCGAAGCATGCTCCAGGCTCCGAGCTGTCAGCACAGAGCCCGATGCAGGGCTCGAAATCACAAACCGTGGGATCATGACCTGAGCCGAAGTCACACTAACTGAGCCACCCAGGCACCCCTGGTTAAGTTCACGTTTAATAGTGTTGTTAGACATAGATCTAAGTAGTGCAGGGCACTCCACATTACATGTTGTCATGAAACACATCATGTAAAAATGACCTTTGTTAGGGGCGCCTGGGTGACTCATTAGGTTAAACATTTGATTCTTGATTTCTGCTCAAGTCATGATATCATGATGGTTCATGAGATTGAGCCCCAAGTTGGGCTCTGCACTAACAGTGTGGATCCTGTGTGGGATTCTCTCTCCCCCTATCCCACTCTGCCCCTCCCCTGCTCTCTCTCTCTCTCTCTCTCTCTCTCTCTCTCTCAAAATAAATAAACTTAAAGAAAATAAATTTTTAAAAAAGGGGTGGCTCAGTCACTATAGCCTCTGACTCCTGATTCCAGCTCAGGTCATGATCCCAGGGTCCTGGGATAGAGCCCAACATCAGGCGCCCCATTGGAAATGGAGTCTGCTCAAGATTCTCTCTCTTTCTCCCTCTGTCCCTGTCCCCCACTCATGTGCGTTCTCTCTCTCTCAAAAATTTGTTTTAATTTAATTTTTAAAAATGACCATTTTAAAAGACGCTAAGTTTGAACAGTGGGTTCAAGTGGTAACAATGTGATCCCTCCACTGCAAAGTTCCTCACCCCTTCCCCTTATAATCAATAAATATCTATAGTATGCTACTTTGTACTTTGGTAAAATGACTCTTTGATTAAGTTGGGGGTGGGGAGTAAATCAGAAACTGTTTAGAAATTAACGAAATGAGAACACTGGATGTCAAGAAGCCAGAAAAATAAACACAAAAATGGCAGAAGGAATGGTTTGATAAAAATAACAACAACAACAACAACAACAACAACATCAACAGAGGGGCTCCTGGGTGGCTCACTCGGTTGATTTAGGCTCAGGTCACGATCTCACAGTTGGTGGGTTGGAGCCCCTCATTGGTCTCGCTGCTGTCAGCACAAGGCCTGCTTCGCATCCTCTGTCTCTCTCTCTCTCTCTCTCTCTTTCTCTCTCTCTCACTCTCTCTCTCTGCTCCTTCCCTGCTGATGAGCGCTCTCTCTCTCAAAAATAAATATTAAAAAAAACAAACAAACCCAGAAATCAAGGAATCAGGAAAAAAAAGACTTGACCAATAAACAAACCAAAAACTGTTCTTGGAAAAGATCAATAAAATAAAAAAACATATTTGGCAAGTCAGACCAAGAGGAAAAAAGAGAAAGCATGCCAATAGATAACGGGATATGTGCAACTTCTAAGTGACAAATGTGTTCTATAAAACATAGGTGAAATTCTGAGAAAATATAAATGGCCAGGTTGACTCCAAAAGAAAATTAAAACTCAAATTAGTCAATATGAGAAAATCATGTAGTAAAATTAGATGCAAAAGCAAAATGAGTCCATTAATGAATGTCATTCACCCCATTAACAGATTGAAGGCAGAAAGCAGTATGAAAATAATGACCGCAAATTCTGATACAGTAATTGCTATGTATCTATTCTATTTGCTATTCTAATTGTTTTAAATACATTAATTTCAATAAATGCTACAAAGGCACATGATTAAATTCAACCCCAGTCCTTATTAAAAATGGCAAAAAGAAATATATTTTAGAGATGAAAAGAAACATCCCTATTCTGAGAAAAAAAATACCTATTGGAAATCTATAGCAAGCATTACATTTGATGGTAGCATTAGAACTTTTCATATCAAATGTCAGAAACCCGGTTTTTTGTTGTTGTTGTTGTTGTTTAAATTTTTATTTATTTTTGAGAGAGAGACAGAGCGTGAGCAGGGGAGGAGCTGAGGGGAGGGAGACACAGAATCACAGGCAGGCCCCACGTCCCAAGCCATCAGCACAGAGCCAGACGCGGGGCTTGAACCTACAGACTCCGAGATCATGACCTGCGCCGAAGTCGGACACCCGACCGACTGAGCCACCCAGGCACCCCGAGAAACCCAGTTTTAAACAGAAAATGTTTTCCACCACTTGCCAAGTCCCAGGGAATTCACCTAGATTGGCAAATACCTGGATCCAAGGTATCCCTAACTGGGGTACAAAGGTTATTCAATTTGCAAGGGTATCACAATTTTGAGACAGCGATGTGCCCTGCTGGTACATATAAACTAAGATTCGGTTTACAAAAATTCAAATCACATACAAATTTGTTCGAAATAGTTCATATGCACCTGTGCCCTTGTCCTTTGATTTTGTCCAATTTCCTTCCAGTTGGTCCAAAATAACTGTGAATCTAGAGAAATCAGGAGAGCCCCCTCTTTCCGTCATATTCCTGCCTTACTTTCATTGTCTGTCTCCCCAGTACATCACCACCCTTAGCCCTTCCTTGCTCAGAGTTTGCTTCTGGTTTGAGTAAGGTGTTCCCTGAAGAATTTCTGGATCTCTCCCCAGGAGTGCTCCTGGGCTGCCGCATGGGCAACAGGGTCCCCTCCCCAGAGCAGGATCCCGGAACCGAACCTGTGTGGGGAAGCATAACACAGGGGTGTGTAGGGCGGTTCTATGAGGTGGCCCGCCCCCGGGTATACCAGCATCCTTCCATTGTTTCTCCCATGGCTCCTCAGCTGGTCCAAGGCCTGCTCAGCATACTCCCTGCTATTCAAGCATTCATCACCGTCTCCTACAATGAAGAGAATCGCACCCTGGGCCTTTTCGATGGGAAGCACACTCTTCCGATTCAGTTCATCCCGGGCGTCCCCCTTGTAGTGGCGGAAGCGCATAGCTCCTAAAACGTCAATCTGCACGCGCTCCATAAACGAGGGGATGGGTGTTATAACCAGATCTTTGTACCTGAGCGGAAATTCATAGATGGCGTTGGGCCCATTGATGCAGATGGTGGCTACCACCTGCTTCATGAAGCAGGCCATGGCCAGCGCGATCTCTACACCTTTGCTCACGGAGATCACTCCGATTCCTGGCTTTTGGATCTGAAGCACAAAATAAAGGGAACCCATCACATGCCATACTCGAAGAAGCCGCCTTACAGGCCAGTAAGCTAGTGTGAGCAAACAGAAAATATTGGATGAGAGTCCTGGCACTCGAGTTTACCAGCTTCTATGACTGAAAACATTACCTACCTGTCTGCCCTCTGAAAGCCTTCTTGTCTTATGGGGGCGTTAATATTACCTACCCTGCAGGATTGTTATGATGATCTAGTGAAACAATAGAAATAAAAGCCATGGGGCGCCTGGGTGACTCAGTCGGTTAAGCCTTCAGCTTCAGCTCAGGTCATGATCTCACAGTTGGTGACTTTGAGCCACGCGTCCAGCTCTATGTTGACAGCTCAGAGCCTGGAGCCTGCTTCCAATTCTGTGTCTCCCTCTCTCTCTGCCCCTCCCCTGCTCGTTCTCTCTCTCTCTCTCTCTCTTTCTCAAAAATAAATAAACAAACAAAAAAGAAATAAAAACTCTTCATCAAAGGCAGAGTTCTGTAAAAGCAGAATCTAAATGCACCAGCAATGTTCAACATCAAGTGAGTACAAGCAGGTAAACTTCACAAAGAATCAAATTCTTCTCTCTGGCTAGGAAAAGAGATTTCCCTAGGTTCTTTAGAATATTTTGTGTTATTCATATTTAAATAGCATTTTACAGCAACGGAGGTTTTGCACATCCATTAATCTAAGAGCTAGATTAATGAAAGCATTGGGGGTGTAAAGATGAAGCCTTGGATTCTATAAACAATTGAATCCCAGTGCCCAGTCCAATAGCAAAAGTAGTAGGCCGTAGAAGGGGGTCCTTAATTCTGTGGAAGGCTGAGGGAACAGAGGGAAGGGAGAAGTTAGGAAGATGAGTAGGGAAAGGTGTTAACTAACTCGAATTTTTTTTTTTAATTTTTTTTTTTCAACGTTTATTTATTTTTGGGACAGAGAGAGACAGAGCATGAACGGGCGAGGGGCAGAGAGAGAGGGAGACACAGAATCGGAAACAGGCTCCAGGCTCTGAGCCATCAGCCCAGAGCCCGACGCGGGGCTCGAACTCACGGACTGCAAGATCGTGACCTGGCTGAAGTTGGACGCTTAACCGACTGCGCCACCCAGGCGCCCCCACTAACTCGAATTTAAATAAAATCTTGTGGGGTGCCTGGGTGGCTCAGTGGGCTCAGGTCCTGATCTCATGGTTCATGGGTTCAAGCCCCGCATCGGGCTCTGTGCTGACAGCTCGGAGCCTGGAGCCTGCTCCAGATTCTGTGTCTCCCTCTCTTTCTGCCCCTCCCCTGCTCACATTCTGTCTCTCTCTCTCAAAAATAAGTAAACATGAAAGAAAGAAAGAAAGAAAGAAAGAAAGAAAGAAAGAAAGAAAAAGATCATCCTAGGGTCAGGTACCAGGCACCTAGGGACCTCTCCTATACTTAAATAAATAAGTAAATAAATAAAATCCTGGGGGGAAATATGAGTAGGGAAAGGAAGGGCATTTTGGAAAGACAGTAGCAAATACATTGCAACCTGATATGTTTACTTTGCTTACACTTGTATGCCCAGCACCTTTCTTTTATCAGATCACCTGAAAAAAAATCTTTTTTAATTAGAGCTTTCCAAGATCCAGTTTTCATGTTTCTACTTCAATAGTTCTGAGTGGGCCCAAGAATCGGATAATATAGCATATCCATGGGGAAATCCAGTGGGCTCCCATATCTGGGAACCATCCATAAGAGGACAGGACTGGGGCAAGGGATGAGAGCAAGGGACGAGAGATAGGAAACTACACTATGGCGGTACCACAGTGAGGCAGTGATGACAACAAACTAAAACAGTGGCCTGGACGGTGGACAGGGTGTGAGGTATTGAGAAAGATTCAGGAACAGACCCTAAAACACTTTGGGACTGGTTGAGGATGTGGGGAAGGGAGAGGGGTAAAATCAGATGGGCAAAGATGACAAGGTGGATTTATTGAGAGTTTACTATATATGCCGGCCCCTCAGCTAAGTGCTCTACACGTAAGTTGTCTCAGCTTGTCCTTCCATAATAGCACTGAGATTCAGGAAGTTTACAAGCCCTGCTTAAGGTTACAACAGTATCAAGGGGCAGAGGTGGGAACTGCACCTCTTCTGATGAATCTAAATCTAAACTGAATTTTGGGGCACCTGGGTGGCTCAGTCGGTTAAGCATCTGACTCTTGGTTTTGGCTCAGGGCATGATCTCATGGTTTCATGGGATCAAGCCCCGTGTTGGGCTCTGTGCTGGCAGCTCGGAGCCTGCTTAGGATTCTCTCTCTAAGCCAAATATGCTTAGAAAAATCACCCATTCACATTCATCACCTGATAACAAAGCCTCTGGGCCATGGATGACATTTTCAATGGTACAACAAGACTTGACAGAGTTCTAAAATGATCCTTCCTTTCCAGATTCCATTCCCTACCCTGGCTTCTAGACTTGGACACTTATTTTGGGCTTAGTTCTGTTCCTAGATCTGATACCTGAAGAGCTAATTCAGCTAATCAGATGGTGCAGCCACATCCATTTTGCTGATAATTCTGCTCTAATCCTGTGGCCCAGCTCTGAAACGGAACTTCTGCATGTTCTTAGTCTCGGGACTCTTTAGTGTGACTTACTCCAGTATTACCCCATGCAGAGACCATCACTGAAGTTTGAAAACACTTCAAGTCAGAGAATTCATGATTTGAGATCAGCGGCTGATGAAAATTGAAGAGCCACTGATGAACAAGTCACATGCACTTCAAATGTGAGGACTCTTGGCTTTTTCTTCCCATTGAAAATGATCATAATATATCCACCATTTATTGTCTTTTGTGCCAGTAAGTTGATCACCACCGATCCCAACAATCCTACAAGGTAGATATTATCATCCCCATTTTAAGAGTAAACTCTGCTATGCCCAAGTCTAAACAGATTGGTAAAATAGGCAAAACAAACATTTATGTTTGTTTTTTTTTCACTATAATGTTGCAAGGTAGAATGAAAAGTATTTTAAATACCTTGGATTGGGGTGTCTGAGTGGCTCAGTCAGTTAAGCGTCCAACTCTTGATTTCAGCTCAGGTCATCGTATCACAGTTTGTGAGGTTGAGACCCACATAAGGGCTGCTTGGTATTCTCTCTTTCCCTCTCCGACCCTCCCCTGCTCATTCACACTCTGTGTCTCTCTCTTTCAAAATAAGTAAATAAACTTAGAAAAAAAAATAAATACCTTGGGATGAACTAATAGCCAGTTAGCAGCTTCCTCAAAATATTCCAGGTCGATCTCCTCCAGTGTTTTAGGCAGATCTTCATAGAGAAAATATGCTAATGCCAACACCGCAAAGCCATGGGTAGCCAAAAGACTGGCCCGAAATTCAACCAGACCCCCTCTGCCCCCAAACAAATCCACGATTCCTGGGAAAGGACCTTCCCCTGAAAGCAACAGAAAGAAAAGAGAATGGAATCAGAAAGAGTGAAAAGAGGGCCCCGTGGATATCAGGGGAAGTACGGAATGAGCAACGTGATTTCCACCTTCACTCACACACAAAATAGCATGTTGGTTTTAAACGATCGTGTATCGAAATATTCTCCAATAATTTGATGCCATTTGTTTTTGTTTTTATATTTGTCAACAATGTTTTCCATATCACCAAAGATTGGCCTCACCTGGAGGGAGAAAAAGGGCTCCTCGCACACGACCTTCTCGGATCTGCACCCGCTGTATGCCAGGGCCTGAGAACCAGCGCTGTACCGTCTGGCTGGCCCTAGGCTGATCTGTGGTGGAAACTTGCAAATAAACTGAGTCATATAGGTTCAGAGTGACATAAAAGGGGCTGTTCATCACATCCTGCTTAATCAGCCTCCGGAAAACCTTCTCGGGCTTCAGAGACCAGAAGAGACCCATCGGGTGGACCCCCACATAGTCGCCTCCAATTGAAGGAGCCTCTGTTAGGTCCAGTTCGCCAACCTCGTTCGCCTTGTAGAAGGCTTTAGACTGGTACACATACCCTTTCTCATCCTTCAGGGATGCCGTGAGGGTCACTATCTGCAACGGGGACAGGCCTGTCACTCGGATATGCACTGGCTCATCTGCAAGGGCACTTGCCGGGGTGGCGGTCAGCTGGAACATTGACAACTGGCAGAGGGAACTGTAGTGTGCCCTGTAATGTGAGAGGAGACTTTGAGTTGGAGACTGAAATCCCAGGAAAAAGACCAAGACGAGGCTTGCATTAGGTCTGGCCAAGTTCTGCTTCTAGAGACCTCATGCAAAATACACACAACATTTCCAGGAGGGAAAAGGAGACATGCAAGAGGACACATTATTCTCATTTTACATATGAGGAAACAAGTTAAGTGACATGCTTCAAACCTCATACATAACAGTAGAACTGGAAATTCAAGCTAAGGCTGAACCACAGCCTCCTGCCTTATCCATTATAACACTGTCGTAAACATTAGTTTTATGGTTTGGGGTAAGTTGAGCTTTAATTCCTCAGTTAAGATAATACCCATGTGATCTATTTTACAGGGTATTTGCCAGGATCTAAGGAGGTAACGCATGGTAGAGCACTTACAGGAAAGATCAGTGCTGCTTTTCAATCCCCATACCTAGCTGGGGCAGAGTTACATAAACAAGAAATATACTAGCATGTTGTTTCTTTTTTGTTTTAGTTTCTAATCCATCCCTGCCATCATAAAACCAACCTTCAGCTCTTTTTCGAGTTCCCATTATTTATTCTTTTCACAGGAAAATAAAACTCCATGATCTTGTCTCTGCTTTTCTGCCTTTCCAATGGGGTGATAAATGTCAAAATGCTGTTTGTAGTAAAGAGACTATAATAGACACTGGATCATACTCCGTTTCATTAATGAGCAAAATGTGGGGCATTTCCTCCTTCCTTACATTCCTTCTCCTGTCCTTTCTTCTCTCTTTCCTCCCTTCCCTTCTTTCTTCCATTCCTCATATCTACAACAAATTTGAACCTGTTTACAGATAACAGATACAGATAGAATAAAATAAAATAGAATGGGGAACATATGAACAAAATCAGAGACATTGGTCAAAGAAACCCTGGAGCATGAAAACTAGAGCTTTTTGTGAGCTGTAGTAGGTTTGGCCCTAAATAAATTAGTGATAGCCAGAGGAGAAAAGGCAATCTGGGCAGTTTCATTGTTCTCATTATTCTCATAGAAAAAGTTGCCAGTTCCTCAGGGAAAAGGAAGAAGTGAGACCTTTCCAATATTTAGTTCTGAAATAGATTTCTTATATTAAACTTCGACATAGGTATGCACCATTTCTTCAACAAGATCTTGATGCAAATTGTAGTGATAGAACTGCTTTCTAGAGCCCAGAGATGGATACCCAGCAGCTATGTTTATACCATGTGACCTCAACCTGGGGCCATTGCAATGGATACCTGATACAGTATGTGCCAGAGATGTTTTCCCTTTGCCTATTTAGAATGGGGGCCCAGAGGGGCACCTGGGTGGCTGAGTTGGTTGAGTGTCTGACTTTGGCTCAGGTCTTGATCTCACCGTGAGTTTGAGCCTTATATCAGGCTCCTGTTGTCAGCACAGAGCCTGCTTTGGATCCTGTCTCCCTCTTTCTCTGCCCCTCCCCTGCTCAAGCTCTTTCTCAAAAATAAATTAACATTTTAAAAATTAAAAAAAAAAAAGGGGGGGACCCAGAGATCACCAGTCACTCTGACTTGTCAGAAATTCCTCATAATGGTCACTATTATTCTATGTCTACATGTTTGCTATTTCCACCAATGTATATGCAAGAGATTAGAGTGAAATTTCCTATAAGAAGCAGTTCTCTCAAGAGAAGATACCACTTGACAGGTCAACAGTGGGTGCTTGTGAATGGTGTCTCAGGTTTCCCCATGAAAGACTAGGAAGGGACCAGATGGTCATCAACCCTACTGTCATTGCCCTTGGAATATAAGCTAAATAAAATCAGCATCTTTCACAAGTTGACAAGGCAGGGAGGACCCTTATGAGGATTGGGTAGGGATCTAAGGCAAAATTGGACAGATTGCCTTTCCAGAAGTTGGTTGTAAGTCTAACAGACCTCGGACTTCTCAAGCCTATGTGTCATCCCTCCCTTATATATTCAAGAAGCAAGAAGAGTCCGGGATTAAAATACACACACATAACACATACATATGTGTGCATGCACACACACGTGGAAGAAGACTTTGTACCTCTACACCAGGGCTTCTCAACTGGGGTTCTGAGGAGCACTGAGGTTCTGCAGAATGTCATGAGGGGGTTCCACTAGAGTTCTTAGTTGAGGAAAAAAGAAAGTTTTTGAATTTCAAGTGTCATGTGATCCTAGTGCACTCAAGGATGGATAGTGACTGAGCAGTCCTATCAGTGATTTCTTTACAGGTTTTTCATCCCATAAGGGCAGTGGGCAAAAGGATCATGTTCATTTGACTAAGTTCATTTTCAGTTTTGGATGCAAGATAGAGGAGGCTCTTGACGGTTAGTGAGCACTACGTTGCACGGAGAGAAGGGTGGTAGGCTGATCACATTTGCCTCTCCTTCCTGATTTACCTACTCCAAACTCCCTTTATGCTTCATGAAATGAGTTAAGGGAATAGACTCTATTGGTGTAAGAGAAAATCAGAGGGAAATTTGCCTTCTGAAAAATGAATTCTTATGCACTGCAACTCAGCTGCCCTCTGACACTTTGCTATTATTTATAAGCATTGCCAAGTGTGTGGACAGTGTAAGAAAAGCATTGTCAAGTACGGATGGGACAAGAAGAACACTGTGATAAAGAACTGTTTTTTCAAGAATTTTTTCACACCCTGTTATTTATTATGCCACTCTTCTGTATTTTAGTAAGCATTTGCCTTTTGCAAACATGTCTGAAGGTCCAATAGGCTGATTTTTGAAGATTTTTTAAGTTCCTGTTTTCCCTGTATTCCATTTCTATTATCTTATTCTCATTTGGATCCCAGCTACTCCACATATTATGACAGGGATTAACACCTTTGTCAGTTGATAAGGCTTATTGCCTCTCGGAACCAGACCCTCATAGACTTTCACAATAAGCTGTAAGAAGCCTTAAAGCTTATCCTGTCCAATGCTGTATTGTCATCATTATCAATAAAGCACCTACTGTGCACAGGGAAGAGGAGTCTCCACCATGCCATTCAGAGCACTTAATATATTACTGAACCTTATACTAGAACCATTTATGTTGAGCTTTCACTTTCCTGTTAATCTGTAAGTCTCTTGGGGGCAGGATCTGGTCTGACTTGTCTTTGTCCCACCTGCTGCGCATGGAGTCCTTTACAATCCATGTATTCAGTAAATGATTATCGATTGTGCTGTCCACTTCATTCCCATAAACTCTCATCCATTTATCCAATTCTTCCTCCCTGTTTAGTCTTTTGCACTCCCCAGTCTAATCTCTGCAATGTCGTCAGACAGATCTTTACAAAACACAAAAGTAATCAAATCACTCTCCTGCTTTATACTTTCAATGACAGCCAGAGTCATTAAAAGGTGAACTCTAAGTGTTGGGAGAAGATGGCGGTGTAGGGGGACGCTGGGCTCACCTCGTCCTGCTGATCGCTTAAATTCCACCCACATATGACTAAACCAGAAAACCGCCAGAAGACTACCAGAACAGACTCTCTGGAGACAAGCATAGACAAGAGGTCCACGGAAGAGGGTAGGAAGGGCGGAGAGGCGGTGTATGCTACATGGACTGGCAGGAGGGAGCCAGGGCAGTGAAAGGGCAGCCCGCCCAGCAAGGCAGAGCCCCCAAAGTCTAGCTTGCAAAAGCCGAGGGGCCAGACTGCATGAGTTCTGACAGCCAGCGGGACTTAACATCTGGAATGTTATAAGTCAACAGCTCTGCTCCGAGAGTGGGAGGGCGAGAGGACACCGGGAGGGAGAGGTGTTGAGCCCTGGAAGACAGAGCTCAGCTCAGCAGGGGGACAAAGTCGCTGGCCAGTGCCATCTCCCTCTCCCATCCCCCAGCTGAAATCCCAAAGGGAACCAGTTGCCCAAATTTGCTTGCACCGCGCAAATACTCAATGCTGTGCTTCTGTGGATCCATCCCTCTGACAGGTCTGCTTGCCTCCCTCTGGTGCTGCAGGGCCCCTCCCGCAGGGGACCACCAACAGCAAAGTGAGCTAAGCCTGCCCCTCCCGCCCCAGTGCAACCAGATCCACCCCAGCTAATACACCAAATCCTATCGAAGCACCACAAGCCTGGCAGTGTGCAAGTAGCCCAGACAAGGGCCACACCACTCCACAGTGAGTTGTGCCCCTGGGAGAGGGGAAGATAAGGTACATACCAGTCTGATTGTGGCCCCAGTGGTGGGCTGGGGGCAGATATTGGGTCTGACTGCAGCCCCGCCCAACACAAGTTACTCCAGACAGCACAGGGGAAGTGCCCTGCAGTTTGGAGCCACTGCAGGGACTACCCAAAATGATGAAACAGAAGACCTCTCCTCAAAAGAAACTCCAGGAAGTAGCGACAGTTAACGAATTGATCAAAAACAATTTAAACAATATAACAGAACAAGAATTTAGAATAATAGTCATAAAATTAATCGTTGGGCTTGAAAAAAAGCATAGAGGACAGCAGAGAATCTATTGCTACAGACATCAAGAGACTAAGAAATATTCATGAGGAGCTAAAAAATGCTATAAATGAGGTGCAAAATAAAATGGAGTCGACCATAGCTCGGATTGAAGAGGCAGAGGAGAGAATAGGTGAATTAGAAGATAAAATTATGGAAAAAGAGGAAGCTGAGGAAAAGAGAGATAAAAAAAATCCAGGAGTATGAGGGGAGAAGTAGAGAACTAAGTGATGCAATCAAACGGAACAATATCTGTATCATAGGAATTCCAGAGGAGGAAGAGAGAGA